TTACGTTCAGCGAACATCCCATTGACATCAGATAAAAAAGTTACTGCGAAACGGAAGCACTTTCCTTTACTGAAACTAAAGGAAAGTGCTTCCGTTTCTGCTGCGATGACCATCCACAAATCACAAGGTGGAACATTCGATGAAATTTTTTACGAATACAATAAGGGTTGTGTAACTTATAAATCGTCCCCATTTAGGCCTTGTGGATACCCCTTTTTTCGTGGAATAACTCTTGATTCAAAGCTTCAATGGGGTCCCCATATATCCAAACTTGCGAGCAGATTAAGTTCTGCAGCATATACTGTAAGGAAAATAAGATGTCGGACTGATGTAAATACAGCTAGAATCGTTCATTTTAGTTATTTTCATGACATACGGTATTTTGCTATGGGGGCATGCAGCCGATGTTGAAACAATATTCATTTTGCAAAAGAGGCCCATAAGGGCAATTTACAATCTAAATTTGAATGTATCTCTGAGAGAGAAATTTAAAGAAATAAATATTTTAACCTTGGCCTCTCAATATATATATGTATTGTATATATATGTAATGTATGTACATAGAAACATTAATAATTTTAATAAAAATACTGATGTACATAATGTAAACACTAGGAACAAACACAAGCTTGTAACGCCAGTTACTAGACTCCAAAGAGTCAGTAACTCGTTCATGGAACGGTGTACACGCTTCTACAACAAAATCCCAGTTAATGTGCAAAGCCTATCTATTAACAGGTTTAAGACTTACTTACTTACCAAATAACCTGCAACGACGAGATCTCCGTCCATTCTCCCTACAGCAAAAACTGTGCAGATCTAAAATATACATAAATTAATTATTTTATATATATGTATATATAAATATGAACTCACTGTTGCACCGCTACCAGCCCGGTTCAAGTACGCGGCGGTGACTGCCCAAAAAGAAAATTTACAAAAAAAAAACATGTTAATCAAAAAAGAATACGGACCACGAGTCTGTAGTTACTTTGTTAAAATAAAAAAAAAACAGGTTTAAGAAATTTATTAAAGAAAACCTTTTTAAAAAGGGTTATTACAATATAAAAGAGTACATTATGTTGTCGCTGGCAACACTGTATACCGGATATGACGTTATCTACTCGAGCCAAGGGACACATGGTCGCATGGAGCAGCGGTCACTTGGATTTCGGCCGCGTTCCCGTACGGTTATATAACCACTAAGGCTGCTTGCCGTTATAATAGTTGTTAATATTCAAGTTCAATAATACTTAAAATATTAGGATCAAGGTAAAATCGTTAGAACTCTTATAATTAACGATAATAACCCCTGGGAATGAGATGATCGCTCCTAAGCTGTTTCTAAATAAAAAAAATTGTACTGTATAACAATGTATTTTGTTGGAGAAAAAAAATGACAAAAAAGAGGATACCTACGGAGTATCTTTCGCCTGTTTCTTCTCCGTTAGAGGAACCTCATTACGAAACGGTGGTAGATTAAAAAAAATGACTATCGATAGATGAAATGTATATTTCTTATTCGATGAATAAATGATTTGATTTTGATTTTGATTGCTGTAATTGTCATGTTGGGCGTAGGACCATAGGTTGCGGCGCCCATATCATGACAATTATTTGGTTTCTAATTTATGCAAGACATCAAAATAATGTCGTCCCTCCTGAACAATTTTGCCAGTATTGAATATGATGTAGATTAAGAACAATAAAATGTGAATCATTAGGTACAATAGTTGTTTTTTTTTTAAAACCTAAATAGTAATGGAGCCCTACTTCTGCCACTCAGCTGTCTATCTAACACTTTACATGTATTTATAACCGTGAAAACTTGCTCATTACTTCCTTAGTTAGTAGTAGAATTACCAAAGAGAATGAATAGATTTTTCTGAACTAGTGCGTCAGGTGGGATGGCAGTTAAGTGCTGGCCAGTTTTAAATTTAAAATAAAACCTGTGGCACGGCGACTCGGGGACTATCGCGGTAAAACTATTGGATAGCATTTTTTATCAACTTATGCAATTATAATTATAATTATTTATTTATTTTTTATTTACGCAGTATTTTTTTTTTCTTTTATATTAATTCAAGTAACACTTTTTGAGCGTGGTGACCGATAAGAAAACAATTATTTTTATTTTATTGAATAAATGAGGTTAATATCGTTTAAAATATTTTTATTCTTTTTCAATACATGTAGGTTATTCAGGAATTTGAAACTATGGGTATATATCATTGAAACTATGGGTTTATGGTAACTGAAATAAGAAACATAAGTTTGAGACTTGATATCCTCTAAATATCATATGATTATATTATAATATCCATCCGTGCGAGCTTCGTACAGTCGTACCATATACATACACGTTAAGCGAACGCTCGGCTACCGAACTACATGGTAGGCGGAGTGGTGGGGGTGTTAGGTTTTATTTTCATTACCTACGGAATTTTTTGATTCGGTCGCCACGCTCAAAGTCCGCGATAAAAGCTATACAATAGCTTAAAAAAATGCCACGAACTATTTTACACTAAACCTATTATTATATACTTAAGAAAGTAAGCACTTCAATGGTATGTTGAATCTCCTATCTTAATTATACAGAGACAAACAGATATTTAATATAAGAAATAACATATTTGAAATACAATTCGCTTTTAAGTAGGTACTAGAATGTGTGTAGGTAATGGAACGATTGTATTTTACTAAACAACCTCAAAATAATAGTTATTTTTTCAAATAAATATTTTCTCCGAGGTGTCCGTCATTAAATATTGTTTTATGGGATTCTACTTGTCATTTAGAACAAAAAAAGTAATTTTCCTTCGTTGTTGGTTCTGGGGCAATCAATGTATGGATAAAGAACATTGTCCTTTTCAAATTGAATTCAAAAGATTGCAATTCCCCATCAATGTCAGTTTTGCTATGACAATCAACAAGTCCCAAGGACAAACGCTAAGTAAAGCTGGTATAGATTTAACTAAGGTTGCTTTAACCATGGGCACCTATCATACCGCCATATCTATACCGCGGCATGTTCACGTGCGAGGAATGCCGGTAGTTTTAGCCCAAGAAAATCGTTCACCAAATATTGTGTATAAAGAAATTTTTCAATAAAGCTAATACAAAAAACTGAAAATAAATGATAATAAAAATAAAAATGCAAAAACCAAAAAAAAACAGTAATAACTTTTGTGTTAAATCCCACGCGAACGAAGTCGGGGTTACAGCTATTGTCAATAAAAATATAACTTAATTTAGAATAAGTAAAAATAAAATAAAATTAAGTAGGTAAAATCATAATAAAAAAAAATCTAAAAAATTAAAGAATCGTCTGTTAGGCGGAACGAAGTTCGCCGCTAGTTTTTAATAAAATTTTACTTCCCCTACGCGCACGGTACTAATGGCGGACGACGGAGAATCGAACGGCCGAAGACGGACATTAAAGCCATTCGACAGTGCGACGAGCGAGTTGGTTGCCGTCGAACAACAACGCCGAAGAAGCAGTACAGGCTGCTTCTGAGCGGGAGACTCGGAGGACAGAGGTCAACCACGAGCGTAATCAAAATTACGCTCATTCGTCTACATTGCGCAAGCATTTTTAGACTACTACCGTAGTAGGGATAACGCTGAGCATGAAGATACTGTTTAAATATATAAAAATAGTATTAGAAGTTTTATTTTCAACTGTTTACAAATTTTTAAGAATTTTAAATTTACATTAGTTGTGATACTTGTTTTAGTACTGATAATTTATTAAAGTGAAAGATTAATAATTATTGAGCCATGTTTAGTTACATCATACGAGTAAGTGTTTATTCCTAGTATTATTAAGTTATTTATTTCATTACAGTATTAAAGTTTGTTAGGACAATTAATTAAATAAGAAAATTATAAGCTTTAAGTTTGACTATTTTTTATTTTATATTTACATTATAAGTGTTCGTACCTAGATTTTATTAAGTTATTTCAAAAAATTAAGCTTTCACTTTTACTGTTTTTTGTTTTAATAACACATTTGATTGGAGTGATTGAGCATGAAGAGAAAAATGTAAATATGTAAGGAAGAAGGAAATGTGTTACTTACATACTTATCCTCAAAATAGTTGTGACAAAGGTTTATATTTTATGTATAATACATTGCACCCGTGCATGGCCGGGGCGAGTTGCTAGTATTAAATAACTGAGCATTGACCTGCCTCGGATTAGTTCACTTTGAATGCCTGTGTAGGTAACTAGTCTGTGTACTTAAGTGATCATTATCGTCCATTGCAATAGTGATATCTCTTGGGGCTGGTAACTGTGCATTTACTGAGATGTTGTGTTCACAACATGCAAGTATTATTTTGCTAACATCTTTAGGATGATAATGGAGGACTCTGTCACGAAGTAAACACCTCCAATATGTTTTAAGTGGTCGGAAACAGCGTTTTAGCTTGCACATGACGTGTGGTATACACTTCCACTCGAGACCCCTGAGAAGCATTCAGCATTGGCGTCATAAACCAAGGCCGTTGAGGATACCCAGAATATCTTGAAAGCAAGTTTTAAATGAGAAAAGATTTAAAGCTTACTTACTAAAATAGTACCATGAATAAGATATTTTTGGAAGAAAGTTGTCGGAAAAAGCACTTAGAAGGAAAAATTGGAAAGCTTCAAATGCATCGAAGTTGTGCTCAAGTAATTTTAAGCCGGAAGATTACTATGGAACAAGTGCTTACACTGGTAAGCAAATAACAATTTTAGTATAAACCTTAATTGATTAAGATTAAATTGTACTTCGTCGATTTTGTTGATTATCTAATTGTAATCGATATGTATGTAGATCATTGGTATCTGAATGAAAAAGCATGTTAGATGAATAAGATTGAGATGCATGAACGACTGATTTTATAGAAGGAGATGGATGTATCAGAGAGAAAGAGAGGGATGAGTTGAGTAGAAAGACGGCAAGACAAAACGTGTACAAGTAATATTTAAATAGTGAATAAATTAGTGAGTAGTGACAATTATTCCCTACGACGACTTCGCAAGATACCTGGTCGTGTGGTGGGAAGAAAGGAATTTTAAGGTGCCGAAGGATAGGGAATTTGCTGACAAAGCTGAGGTTACGGAAGTAACACCTCAACGCCAGGGTAATTTGCTATAGTTCACCGGTACCGATAATTGCTACCCGGTGTCACGTTGGATCCGAGATATCGAAGATCACAGCGAAATCTTGCTACAACTTATAGTGGCGAGAAGATCCCTGGAAGGTACTGCTTTCCTTGCTTCCGTGCATAGGGTACATAATTTATGAATAATATCCTTAATCACAATTCAGAACTTTCCTATGCCGAAGAGGCAAGGATGGCTTTCTATCTGCTTCAACGAAAATATCCCGCTGGAAGTAAACCTAAAAAAGAGTGGGATGTTCCTTTGGTGCGGCGAGTACAGAAAGATACGTTTCAATCTTTAGAAAGTAATTTAGAGCGTGCCCGTTTTCTAGGCGTCTCATCTTACCGTAACTTGGACATATTACTTGACGATGAAAGCTTACATTTTGCATTGCATTGCTGTAGTAATAAAAAAAAGTAAATTGCGTCTGGGGACACCGATTTGTCAACCACACCCTTAATGCCCTTGTGGTGTCAGTGTAGACAAAATTGGTCTCCGCGGGCTTTCTTGTCAAAAAAGTGCTGGCAACTTTTCCCGCCACGGTTCCCTGAACGACATCATCCGTAGGGCTCTTGTTTCCATCAATGTTCCAGCTATTTTTGAGCCCTGTGCCATTTTTGATAACGGTAAGAGACCCGACG